AGGTGCTGTGCTCGTTGGCCATTTTTGGCATTGGTGTGGGACGAATGTTGGAAGGTGCAAAGTGGGCGATTGGAGTCGAGCTAGCCTATGCCCTTTTGGTGATGGTCGCTGGTCTGTCTGGGATCTACGCTGTACGGCAACGAAGCTATGCAGCAGCCACTCTCGTCTTTTGCCTTACAGCATTCAGTACCATACTCGCTATACCGCCATTCATCATGGGTAAGTTCTACATCAAACTTTCCGATCTCTTTGAGGCAAGGGTCACTTTAATTCTATGGGCGGAGACAGGACTCAACTGTCGCGCATTCCTAGTTGGGTGTTCCTTCTGCTGAGGTGAGACAGTAGGATAAATCCGCTAGTGAGAACGACAGCGGCTTCTCCCCGCCCATACTATTAACGTGTACTGCGTTTTCAAACTAATACGGGGTGTGATAGGGCTTAATAGAAAGAGACGAAGACTATGTAGTAAAAAAGGGTTTTCGGAAGTTGCAAAGTCAAGCTGCTGGCAGGGCTTCAATTTGAGTGGAATAGTTCAGTCTGCAATGATAGACTGACCATACAAGGATAATTTCAGGACTTTTCCCAACAATTCCATGGGCCTTCGCGGAAGCCACACCATATACGTGGATAAGCAAAAGAGAACCACTGGAACTCGATTTCGGACTCAGCCTTGTCATTCTCATTCAGGTATAGCCTACAAAACTTTTGCACTGTTTTCAGGGGAATGCAATGATTAGCTTTTCTTTACTTTTTTTTCATTTTTCCATTGTTGCTAACAACAAGGGAGAGACTCGAGGCGCTAAACGTCCCCAAGGCTCAACCTCTAGGAAATCCCAGCAGCAATCAACCTAAGCACCATACCGACATTTGGTACTGATCGATGCTGAATCGGCTTCAGTCAGCCGTGAGGATGAGGGCGTAGTGTTGAAGATGGAGTCAATTGAGGCACGTTCAAACTGGGATCGAAATGGGGTTCTATCTAGGGCAGTTGGCATGTTTTTTTCTGCTTTTTTCTTCACTATCGAGTTACTCAGCACCTTGTCGTCTGTATGCAAACCCCTAATCCACTATCTGTGATGGCGAATGATCGCGGGCATTGCCTTCAATCACTGGGAGAGGGATATTGGCCTTTGGAAAACTTTTCCCGATAACTGTTCCCGTTACAAATGCCTGCTCGCCTACATCTCTCTTCTTGGTGTCAGGTTCCGGGAGAATAGTGAAGATAGTAGGTAAAAAGTGAGAGTGGGTGTGCAGAAGGGAAATAGGGAAGA